ACCCAGTGCTGAAGACACCAAGTGTTTCCTCCCCTCAACTGGGACCACAGTCCAGACCCCCGGCCCACTCCCTCCAGGGCTTGGGAAGCCAGTCCTCCAGCCCCTCCTGCCCGGGTCTGGGCTTGTGGCCGCATCCACGCTCTGCTCCTGTCTGTCCTGTCTCCCTCTGCCTTCTCTCCAAGGGCCCCCTGGTCATCTTACCTCCATGCCCTCAGCTCCACTGTGTGGAGGAGCCTTCACATGCGGGGGACATCCTTGGGCTCCAGCCGGGGTTGCTTGCATGAGAGCCACCGTGGAAAGGAGAACCCGTGGCTGGCACCCGCTGTCCACACCAGGTCCCCACACCCTTACATTATTTTGGTGTCACGACACTCAGTGGTTTTAATTTTTAAATCATTTTCCAGCACCTCACGCCGTGTGGGACTCCTTTTCCCCTTAATAAAATGAACCCGCACCAACATGGAGGTCAAAGGTGCTTCCCAAACCTTTCCAGCCGCTGCTTCTGCAGACGAGGCCCCAAAAAAAGGGGAACAACTGACTGCCTGACATAAAACCAGGGCCCGGTCCAGGCGCGTGGATGCCGCTGGGACCCGGGAGACGGGCTCTGGGATCCTTTCCAGGCCCCCACCCGCGGCCGGCCCCGGGCAGGTGTGTGTGCACCTGAGCACGCGGAGGCCGGCCTCGTCTGTGTGTCCATCCAGTTCATGGTTGCCAAGCACATCCTGGGGCCCTCCAGGCGCTGAGCTTCCGCCAGGAGCTAACCAGACACCGCGGGGATCCCGCCGTGGAGGGAGCCCGGAGCAGCCTGGTCTCCTCTCCAGGGTCCTGAAGCTCCCAGGGAGGGTGGAGCTGAAACCTGAGTCCAACTCCGCCCGGACAGGAGGCAGAGCTGCAGGGCCGGGGACCCCGGTCCTGAGGCAGGACGTGGTGGTGGCACAGGTGGCCGAGGGCCTGGGAGGGTTCCCAGCATCAGATTGGCGTTTCTAAGAATGCGCTGGCTCCAGCGGTGGGGCAGCAGGTGGGGAGAGACAGGGACAGGCAGAGGGACCAGTCAGGAGGCGAGGACCCCACGGTGCCCCGGCCAGAGGCGGGTCCAGCGCTGCTCACTGCTCACTGCTCAGGGCAGCCCCGGAGGCGGGCCACCCACATCGATGCTGACTGGTGAGCAAACCGAGCCAGAGAGCTGAGTGACCTGCGAGTGCTGGGAACAGGAGCTCTTTAGTGCCCACTCAACGGAGCCAGCCACGTGGGCATGGCTGCCCGGGCCACTCGGGGCACCTGCCAGGTGGGCATCCAGCCAGCCGCCTCCAGTGCTTTAGGGACTTGAGAACCAAGTACCTCGGCTGCTCCTGGTGGGGCTGAGGTGGCCTCCCAGGTCAGCGAGGGCCGGCCTGTCGGGGACGGTGTCCCTCAGTCTGGTTCTGAGGCACCTACCGGGCGCTCCCTCCAGCCCAGCCGCCGGGCCTCCCCGACCCGTTACAGCGGCATCTCCGCTCTCTCGGGCAGAGTCCGCGATGCCACAGTCCACTGCCTCCCTCCAGGCTCTCCCCCCGGACAGAGGCTCTGATGGGCGTGGCCCCAGGGACATCAGGAGACACTTTGGGTTGTCACACGGGGGAGGGGCATAGCTCCTGGCACGTGGTGGTGGAAGCCAGGGGTGCTGGGCATCTCCTACAGGGCAGAGCGGTCACCCCAGGGCTGCCCTGGGCTGGGACTGCGCTCAGTTCCCGAAGTTCCTGAGGCATGAACTTGGGTGACTGTCTCCTGGAGACACTTGATCCTGGGCCTCAGGGACCCTGCACACCTGAGCCACAACCCTAAAGGGGGGGCCGGAGGGCCCCCCCGCCCCTGGGGAAAGCCAAAATCCTTTGTCCACAATATGTCAAGAGTTTCCCCTCCCCCTGG